TTGCAGACTTCAGAGAGAATGACAAAATATTGCACCTTTGAAACAAGAACCAGCCATTAAAAAAATTATTCAGCACAAAAATTCTGTCCTTGCTCTCACAGCTGGGATGGCCTAGATGCAATGACACCCCAGTAGCAAAAGCACACCTTGAGCCCAGGTCTTGTCTCCAATAAAGGAAACCGGGCTGATTCCGGGGCTAGGACAGAGGATGTACAAGATGGGCCTGGAGCATCTGGTAGTGCACAAAAGCAAGGACGTGGCTACAAAGGACACACACAATGTGGGGGCATGTCCTAAGGGGCACGAGGGCCAACTGAAAGAGCTGGAACAGTTTGAGCAACAAAGTAAATAATGTAGTATTGGGTTATGACTCAAAGTATAAAATACATATCCATGACTTCAGAGTAGTAGAAATAAATGATTTAATAAATAAAAATAAATGGGGAAGAAGAAACAAATCTGTACTGAATAACAAATAATTGACAGAGGTGCTCCCCTCTCAGAGGGTGAAACTCAACTCCCTCCTCTGTATGTGGGGGATATGCATAGCGACTTACTCCCAGAGTTCAGTATGGAAAGGGAGCAAGATAGAGTACCTCAGACAGGTGACCACTTCGCACAGCAGTGAGAAGACATGTTGATATATGTGTCCTTGATACAAAATGATGAGAAAGGCTCTTTACTTCCATGATCTTCCTCTGAAAACCAGATGGCTCCAGTCTAACCATGAGGAAAGCATCAGACAAACCCAAATGTGGGACATTCTACAAAATAGCCACCACTAGTCATGAAAACTGTCAAGGTCATCAAAGAAAGCCTGAGAAACTGCCAGAGCCAGAAGGAGCCCAAGGAGGTATGTGCTGTGGTGTCCTGGGACAGAGAGGGGCATTTGATACAAACCAAGGGCATAGGAGTGAAGTATGGGCTTTGATTCATTACAAATATAAGTATTATAAAATATATATTTATATATTTAGAGCATAAGAAAAGCTCTTGGAAATTAAACTGTGTTGGCAGAAATGAAAAAAATGTTTGTAGTAGACAGGTTGGGAGAGAAAACAGAAGAAACCTCCTATTTGGTAGAGTGAAAAGACAACAAGGTGCACAATAGAAAAGATAAAAAATTAAAGGCTGCTCCAGCAGCTCTGACCTCTGAACAACAGTGAGGCCAAAAACACAGGAAAAGAAATACACAAAAAAGTAATTCACGGGATCTTGGTCAAGATGTGAGGTGCCAGTAAATGCCGTACTCACACCCTCCCACAGCCACATCATAGCTGCAGTTAAACCTCCGATCAACCATCATTCAGACGCACCTGAAATCTAGCTGAACAGAAGTCCTACAACTAAAGATAGAAAGAAGAAGCCACATCGAGACTAGGAGGAGAGGCATAGATGCAGAACAGGGTGGTCCCACACCCACATGCATCATACAAATTGGGAGGGAAATCTCGGCTATGGAGTTCCCTGCTGAGGAGCAAGGGGTCTCAGCCCCAGCCCAGGGCTCCAGAACCATGAAGAAAAATCCCTATAACTTCTGGCTGTAACAACCAGCTCAGATTGTGGGTGAGACAGAGGGCTTCCGGAGTCCCAGGCACTCCCTTTAAAGGGCCCACACATGGACTAACTCATTCTGAGATCCAGCGCTTGGGCACCAGGGACGTGTGGGGAAGAACTGAGTTGTCAGGCATCAGGGCGAGACCTGGAGGGCAGCTTTCTTCCAGACAGAAGTGCTGGCGGAGGCCATTGTTCCTTTTTTTGGCCTTCGTCCCACAGAGCCAGCATGCAGGCACTGTGTCTGAGTCTTCATCAACCTGGCTACATTATTCACCTGGCCTAATCTAATCTGTTTCTGGTGGCTTTTCCATACAAGTGGCCTGTCTTGGCTCATGCTTCAGAGTTTCCTATAATCTCTCAAACAAACAGGCTTTCTTGTGCTGTGTGCCTCTCACTAAGTGGCCCCAGCCCCACACTAGAGGCATCTGGCCTTGTGTTGCAGCTTGGTGTCTGCTGCTGCAAGCCTAGCTCAAGTAGCAGCCACCTGCTCAGGCCTGGTGGCCCAGTCAGGGCACAGACGAGGCTAACCTTGGCCTGCACCTCCAGAGAGGACCCAGAGCCAGCAAACTTGGTGGACAGCTTCAGACCACGTTGAAGAACCATTCAACATCCTCCACAAGGGACACATTCAAGGGGTGGTCGTCGCAGTCACCAGAGGTCCCCTGAAGTAAGTCCTTCTCTGTGGGGTGGGCCCCTGCACAGCTGATCCTCCATGGGGGTTGCAGTCAGTCCTTCCAGGCAACCAGCCCAGGGGTAAATCCCTCCCACTGACAGGCCAACAGCAGTCAAGGCTTGACTGCAAGAGGAGGTGTATACAGCCCACACAGCGGGGGATGGGGTACACCCTGAGTTCCCAGCTCGGCGATCGGAAGGTGGTGCTGCTGGACCCTACAGGACACCTACTACATAAGACCACCAGCAAGCCTGGGAGACAGCAGCTCTACCTAATACATAGAAACAAATGCAGGGAGGCTGCCGAAGTGAGGAGATAAACGTGTCCCAAATAAAAGAACAGAAGTAAGCTCCGGAAAAAGAACTAAACGAAATGGAAACAAGCAATCTACTTGGTTATAAAATTGCTCAATGAACTTAGCGTAATCACTTAGTAAGTTATATAATGTCTAATCACTGGGTTATATGCCTGAAATTAATAAAATATTGTATGTCAACTGTAATTGAAAAAAATATATTTAAACTAAAAAAAAGTAATTCAAGAAAATTTCCCATCGCCTAACCACTGTGCTATACACCTGAAACTTATACAAAATAATGTTGAATGTAAACTGTAATTTAAAAATTAAAAAAAAATTAAAAAGCAAGAAAACTTCCCAGATCTAAAGGTCATGAGTTACTGAACTGAAACCAACATTCAGTTAAAAGAGACAAGACACCTCACTGGGATATTTCAGAGCACAGGGACCAAAAGAAGAAAATACAAAGGTCACCTGCAAAGGCACGTCAGAGTGACTTTAGACCCCTTGACTGTAACACTGCGAACAAGATGATGCAGCATTACCTTTCCAGTCCTGAAGGAAACATTTTTTTCTGAACTTGAACTCCATATATAGCTAAACCCTCGATCAAGTGTGAGGAATACAGTCATTTCCAGACATGCAAGTTCTTGAAAATTTTACTTCCAAGCACCATTACTCTAGAAGGATATATTCCACCCAAAAAGACAGTACTCTGAAGGAAGACGTGAGAGACAGGAAGCAGGAGACCAACACGAGAGGTGACAAGGGGTCCCTTGGCAGGTGGTGAAAGGGACCCCAGGATGACAGCCGTGCACTGTCACCCCAGGAACAGACTCACTACCCAGTCCCCCAGTTCCATCGAGCCATCTTCCTAACCCGAGGACAGACGCCCGGGAGAACCTGGCCCAGACTCTCGGGAGGGCGCGCGCAGGGGTCCTCGGGGCCCCGAGAGCTGCGGGCGGCCACGTGGGCTCAGGAGCGGGGCCCGGAGAGCAGCCCCGCCCCCTGGCCACCCCGCGGCTGCGCGTCCCGCGCCTGGTCCACACCGCAGTCCTGCCAGGCGCCCGAAGCGGGAGAGCCCTGTTCCCCAGGACCCCTGGGGACCTTGCTCAGACGTCCCCAGAGGGGCCTGGTCGCCTCCCAGGGAAGCGGAAGTCAGACCCGCCCCCGAGTCGGGCGCACCCGCCCCTCCCCCTCCGGGAGCCCCCGTTCGTCCCGCGGGCGCGCGCACAGTGGGGCCGTCTCCCTCCCAGACTAAGGCAGAGCGCTGTTTGGGGGTCGATTACAGGAGGCTGGTGGAACAGTGAATAAAGACAACTAACACAACAGTCAGGACAGCCATCCTCTCTCGGGCCTAGGGTGAAGTTCTCTTTTTTGGCTCTGGTCCAGATAAAACTATCCTGGCGGTCTGTGAAAAGTTCGCTAGCCTCAGGAGCGGGACTGCCGGCGGTCGGGCCGGGAAGGCCGCACGCGGGGCAGGCGCTCCGGCAGGGTGCGCCCTGGTCGAGGACTGTGTGAGGCGAGCGGCGAGGGGGCGCGGGGGGCGGGGGTCTCAGCGTGCCACCACAGCCCCTGGGTTCCTGCCAGCCTCCAGACTTGGGGTTTTGGAACAGCAGCAGGTGGCCCCCCTGCCTGGAGCACTGAGTGGTGGGCGAGTTCGGGGGAGCAGCACAGCGTGAGACCTCCTGCCTCCTGAAGCCATGCTTCTTGTCTGCCTCTGTCAGAAGAGAAACAGATAATAGGATCTCTCAAGGACTATATAGTGATTTCTAAACTCTTCCAAATTTCCCGGAAGTGCCTCTCACGGGCGGAATGCAACCTGGAAATGTAGTTCCCGGGTGTGCAGCCCTCAACGTGCGCGGAGGAGTGCCTGGAACGGGGGGGTGCGGGGCAGGGGAGGTTGCTCCGAGGCTCGCAGGTGCCCCAGGACAAAGGACACGCACTAGCTGGCTGTCCCGCAGCCGCCCAGCCAGCCCCCGCCGGCACCTCCATGGGAGTCTAAATTCCAACCCCACCAGCCTTCGGAACTGTCTCTGGGTTTCTACTTCCTGCCGGATTGTGTGTTAATAGAATCGGTGAGTATAACAGGATCACCGGGCGGGGGGGGGGGCGGGGGGCCGGGGCGGGGGGGGGGGGGCCGGGGCGGGGAAGTACGAATTTGAGTTTGCTGCCACCTGCTGCCTTCAGGCCGTGGGCAGCCATCTCAAGCGGCATCCCGTGGCCCAAGGCCCTCCCACAATTGCTCAGTGGACTCTCAGCAGAGAGTCCCAAATCTCCTGCATGTTGTCCCATCCTGTAAAATGGTCCTCACTTTCATACTGGAAGTGAGGCCATGGGTGCGGGTGCCAGCAAATGGGGCTGCTCCCCTTGGACACTGCTGAGCCCTGTTCTGAGTGAACTTCAAAATCCAAATGCACAAAAAGAATGAGATTAACAGAAATCCAAATGCACAAGACAAAAAATTATACTGTCTTTATTGTGTTACAATTGCATAGTTCTTTGTGCACATTTTTAAACAGAGGATGGAAGAACCCACTTGAAACTACTCTCTTGCGTGGGAAGTCTCAAGCGTTCTGCTGTGGGCGGGAGCAGGGACCGAAATGCTGCCTGGGCCTGAAAAGAGCCATGATCGGAGGCAACAGGGTTCCATGGAGGGCGAGGGGGATGCAGACAGGAGGTACGGAGCTGTTGGAGGAAGCCGAGATTTTGACAGGACTCCTAGGAGGCAAAGGAAGACGGGGGAGAAGCTTCCCTGACATCAGGGGACTGGGATCAGGGGCGGTGGAGAGAGGAAGAGGAAGGAGAAAGGAGTTGAGAGGAAGTACCTTGTGCTCAAATCTGAGATCTGAACGCCCCCGCCAGGAGACTGGGTGCCTGGGTAGCGAGGGGCACAATCTGGGCATGACCCTGGCTACAGAAAGCCACACACTAGAAAAATAACTTAAAAGCTATACAACTGTTATTATAAATATTTTGTCTTTTAAAACTAACTAGCATTGGTTAAAAAAGGTTCACAGTTACTCGGATGAGCTGTATATTGCACGGTAGTGGAAGAGTCCTCTCTGATCCCCACATGTAACAAGGAGTCCCTTCTCCTCTGGTGACGTCAGGACACAGAGAAACCGTATCTGCCGTAAGCAAAGCACTGGGGTACAAGGCACTGGAAGCTGTCAAGCTCTGCTGGGATCTAGGAGATGAGAATGCTATCACTGGACTGGGTCTTGAGCCCCATTACACATGGTGATGGTCTCCTCATGTCCTTCTCATTCCACGGTTACAGACTTGGCCAGATTCCTGGGGAAGTCAACCTAAAATGATAGAAAGTAACTGCTCAGGATCTGGCAGATCTCAGCCATGCACTGTTTGTAAAATCTATCACCAGAGTGCTTGAAGTGGAGACAGTGTTCCTGGTCACCAACCACAGGCCCCCTTGAGACCTGCACCTGCAAGTAGATCCTTCCTCCAGAACCTTCAATGAACTGTACAGTGTTTAGTTCATCCAGTAAACATTTACTGTGCACGTGATATGTTTCAAGCAGTGTCACTATTAAAAGGACATGAGTCATGCTATTGAAGACAGCTAGCCCAATTTGTACTGTTAAATATTCACTTTTCCTGAAAGGATACACATGAAACCCAAGAGACTTGTAAGTGCAAGATAGAGGTGGGGAAGGAAATGTGACTGGGATGGCTGATAAAGTGGCTTCAACTCTATCTGGGACATCTCATTTCGTTTATAATAATGTTTTTTAAAAAATAAACAACTATGAAAAAATGTTGGCATATATACCTTCTGTTTCTTATTTTTTGTGTGTCATTATATATTTTTTAAAGCTTCTCACCCTGACTGGTGTGGCTCAGTGGATTGAGTGCCAACCTGAGAACCAAAGGGTCACTGGTTTGATTCCCAGTCAGGGCACAGGCCTGGGTTGTGGGCCAGGTCCCCAGTAGGGGGCGTGCGAGAGGCAACCACACACTGATGTTTCTTTCCTTCTCCCTCCCTTCCCCTCTCTCTAAAAATAAATAAATAAAATCTTAAAAAACCCTTCTCAAGATAAATTATAATCAAACTTCTATTTCTTTGCACAATGGATTGTGTGTGCTTACACACTTGCTGGTGAGATCATAGATTAGTTCTTTTCTGGAACATAAGTTGACAATATATGTGAGGAGTCTCATAATGTTAACTTGTGCTAGACTGAGGACGAATCTTAAATGTGGGATGAAGCTGTGGGTACAAAGATATTCATTGAAGGTGTTATTTATGCAGATGTTGCAAAAAATTAGAAACAGTTTAATAATAGAAGATTGGCTAAGTAACTGTTAAATCCATGTTGTAAGATTGTGGTGGAATATTGTGCAGTGATTGTGTTGCTTGCAACAAGTTCAAGATGTGAGAAAATGTATCAAAAAGGAAGATGTAAAACATCACCCTTAATATAATCTTGAAAAATGTTAAGAAATTCACATGCACAAGGAAAAGACTAGAAGAAGATATTAAATGTGCTTATTAACACTGCTTCTGGGTGACGAGCTTATGGTTTAATGAGACGGTCTTTATACACCTTGCAGTTCCTGAGCAGTTTTTAGGGGGTATAAGTTACCTTAAAAAGAGTTATTTTAACTGAAAATATTTATCCTACGAATATTGATGCCTGGTAAAGACTAACTGGAACTTCAAGAAAATGCACCAGGTGGGCGGGTCCGGGGAGGAGCTGGGGCTTAGGGAAGCCCTCACTGTGTGGGCAAGAACCTCACAGCGGACCCTGTGTTTATAATAAAGCTCCATGGTTCTAACTTCCCTTTCCCTTAACCTCCCTTTCCTTCCTAGAAATACCCCTCCTCTGGACACACGGCCAGAGAGGGCAGTGGCTGTCCTTTCCCCCCGCTGGGTCGCAGCCCTTTCTTCATCCCCAATAAAATTCTTTTTGGTGGTGAAACTCCTAGTTGACGCTGTGCCTGGGCTGACACACCCAAGCAGCATGTAAACACACAGGGGAGCTCGGGCCCCTCTGCCCTTCGCGGGGGCGGGCAGCTCCCCACACTCACATCGTAGCCGCGGAGAACGGCGAGGTGGAAGGAGAGGAGCTGCAGGGGGATGACGCTGAGGACGCCCTGCAGGCAGTCCACGGTGCGCGGCAGCGCGATGGCGCGGCAGGCGAACTTGGCGCTCTCGGTGTCGTCCTGCGAGCACAGGATGATCGGGCGGCCCTGTGGCAGAGAGAGGTGATGGCAAAGCGCGGCCCCTCTCCGGGCGCAGCGTCCCTCCCGCCCAGCGGAATTTCTGAGGTTGGCTTTGCAGTTAAGACAGTGACTTTTTGTTTTTGCTGGAATTATGGGTGAGGGGCTCTGGACAACTCATGTAAAGGACAAAGCGTTTGAGGCTTTTTGGTGAGTTTCTTTCCTTTCCCGGGCAGATCAATGGGCCTCCTGCTTTAATCGCTCAGCGCCCGCTTCTGTGTGGCTTCCGTGTGCCCTGTAAAGGGCAGGGCACAACCACCCCTTGCCCTAATGGGGCTCCCAGTGAAGGGTGGGAAACAGAAACATAGGCAAGAAGACCAGTAAGCAATGATGACCTTCGGGAAAGCACCACAAGAGTAATAAAGCCGGGTGATGTGGTTGGGAGACACTGCTGACACCTGGGATGGCCTCTCAATAGCGGGGGTGTTGGACGGAGACCCGGATGACGGGAGGCCAGTGCTCGGAAGGCGCTTGGGAGCGCGCATGGGGCAGAGGGAACAGCCAACACCAAGGCTCCGAGGCGGGGAGGAGCAGGCGAGGAGCAGGCGCCGGTGGGAGACAGAGGGAGGGGTGGACGGAGCTTTGTCAGAAGCCACGGGAGGCCCTAAGAACAAGGCTGGTGGCTGTTCTTTAGCTCCCTTCTGCCCGCCCCTCTGTGCCGAGCAGGAATGGCAGCGCCGGTTCAGGCGCCTGCTCAGGTTTCTCCTCCCAGTTACACCGCCAGCCCCCTGCCCCACCCCCGGACCTCACCTCCGCACACCACGGGGCACCGTAGTGTAATAAAGAGTTTGGCTGCTCTTTGTCCCTGACCCCCGGGAGGGGCCTCTAAACTCTTGGGCTTTCCCGAGTGACAGAAGTGTCCTTGTTTTTTGTGACGGGACCCTTAGACCACACCATTATGCTAATGAGGTGATACACGTAGGCCCAAGGACACTTTTGGGATGGGGGCTGGCCGTGCCAGGAGGACCGATCCGATCCTGAGCCCATAGTTAGAGGGTTGGGGTTTTGAGCCACGTGGTATCAGCCTGACCTCCAGGAACAGAAGAGGTGCTGGAAATTTAGCTCAGTCACATGGCCTATGATGCAATCTACCGTGTCTGCCTAATGAAACCTCAGTGAAACCCTGGGCGCCCGGAGCTTGCAGCTGCTGTGCGAAGCGCGGGCTGGCTGGTGGAGGACAGCGCCCTTCGCCTGGGAAGTGTGAGAGAACTTCAGGGGACAGTGTCCGCGCCGCGCTCAGGGCACCCCAGCAGGCACGCCTCCGTGGCCTTGCTGCCTGGGGCCCAGGCCGCCCCGGGCCCTCTGGGTCACTGCGCCTCACTAAGGAGCTGTTGTGCGCGTTGCCGGGAGCTGGCCAGTCCCTTTAGGTGGTGCACGTGCCACCGCAAGGGGCCGAGGGGAGCGTGTGTGGTCGCGCCTGCTCACTGGCAGACGGTGGGGGAGGTGGGCACGCGTGAAGGCGAGGAGGAGGAGGTGGCCCTGGGCCAGCAGAGAGCCCCACCTGGCGGGCCGTGATCTGCTGCAGGGCGGTCTGGCATTTGGCGAAGCAGGGGTCCTTCATGATGACCATGATGATGGGCATCTGCTTGTCGATCAGCGCCAGGGGCCCGTGCTTCAGCTCCCCAGCCAGGATGCCTTCCGAGTGCATGTAGGTTATCTCTTTAATTTTCTGGGGAAACACGAGGCGGGATGAGCGTCACCCTGGGCAGAGGGAGGCTGGATCGCGCCAGCCAGAGGGGAGGGCCGGCTGGGGGTGGGCGGTGTCCACACAGCGGATGGATGCCCGGAGCGGTCAACAGCACCGAGGGAGCGGGCAAGGCCAGGCCCAAGGGAGAAGGCCGGCTGCTGTCCAGGGCACACGCAAAGGTCAGCACGCAGCCTGTGTCCCAGGCCAGCTCCTGGGCGCAGCCACCCCCTCCGGATGGACAAGTCAGCGTCAGCCTGGCTTTGCCCAGGCCCCAGGGCCTCTCACAGTTAGGGTTTGTAGTGACAGTATTGGATTCTGTCTAGATAGGCCTCCATTCAACTATCTGATTATTTCCCCAATTCTAGACCATTAACAAATTGCAAAGGGTTGCTCCAGCGTACGCATCGAGTGACACCCCACACACGGGGCCGTTACTGGCATTTTCCTTGTGTTTAGGAAGATCCGTGCTCTCCAGTATCACCGACCCGACCCTGGGCTGGTGAGAGTGACGAGGAATACGTTTCTCAACGCCCCAGGAGCCCTTTCTTTGGGCTGGGAAGCACTGCTGGAGCGCGGCTCCACCCTGCAGGCGGCAGACGGCCGCAGCGCCGGCCCCCAAGCGATCACAGAGGGCCATTGACTGGGGCCAGCAGCAGTGTGAAGGCTCCTTTCTTTCCCCAAAGACTAACTTGGAGACGTGGTTGAATACACCTCTTTCAGCAGCACACGCAGGCACTGTAGCTGGGCTCCCAGGTGACAGAGGCATGGGGGCCAGCGGCACACCCCACCCAGGCCTTGTTTTGCCGCGCCCCTGAGGAGCAGGGCGCGCTCCCCGCCTCTGGCGAGGGCCAGCACCTCCCCCGGAAGGGGCAGAGGTTGGAGTACACGCAGACAGGCTCCTCATGCCTTGCCCCGCCCCATTACTCCTGAATGTTTCCTGTGAACCTATTTCCAATGGCATTGTCTCAAACAGGGGGCAGGGGTGGGGGTGGGCGGGGGGCGAGGGTGAAGGGTGGTGGGAAAGGAGCAGCCACTTTCTCCACAGAGAGAAGAGGGGAGCCGACCAGGTCCTCACCTGTGACGCCATCTGCCGGTCACCTCGGGTGAGCATGAACAGCAAGCGCACAGTGAGTGGGGACAAGCTCTGGACCCAGACCTCCCCTGGACAGCCCGGCCCACCCTCCCCGTGGCCCCCGGCCCCGCCTCGGAGCCCTGCGCCTCACCCCTGCTGGACTCCACTGGCCCCCGCGGCGCTGCACCACTGCGGGGGCAGACGGCCCGTCACAGGCTCAGGCAATGCAGGGCCTGCAGGGCTCGTTCCCACGGGGCCTCCCGCTCCCCCTGGAAGTCTGTGGGGCGCAGGGACCCCGCCCTCAGCTCTGGTGTGCCCAGATCCTCCCAGGCCAGCTGCTTGGCACAGTGGGAAAAAGGCAAAGTCCACGTGGGCCTGAGTTCGAATCCCAGGCTGATCACTTCTGCTACGTAACCTTGAGCAAGATGAATGTTTTGGAGGCTCAGTTTCCTCCTGGGTAAAATGTGGACCATAACTGTCATCTCTCAGGTGTTGCTCGGGAGGTAAAACTCAGCTAATCCAAATGCGGCCCAGCACAGGGTGACACCCCTGGGCTCGCGCAAGGTTGTCCTGTCCCTGCATCCTGGGAGAGTAAAGGCTGGTACCCCATCTCTACGTCCCCGGGGCTAGAACACCTGGTAGTGAGCTGGCGCTGGATGCAGCTGCACACAGTGGCTGACGGGCCCCCAGGCGCTCCCCTGCTCTACCCCAGTGCCCTGTTCCCCTTCTTGCTGGCTCCCAGGGCGTCTCCCATGCCTGCCCTCATGCAGGGCTGGTGGTGCTGGGCTGGGCAGAGGGGCTCACCAGGGCGCCTTCCAGGCACGTGGCGTAGTTGTAGCCCCGCCCCATGACCAGGAGCGACCTCTGCGTGTAGAGCTCCAGGGCCAGGTCGTGGATCTTCTGGTCCAGTGACAGCACTTCCTTGATCAGCTCTGAGTCATGCACACAGCAGAGGAGGAGAACCGGTCATGGTAATTTTAAAACGAGATGCACAAACAAAGATCATAGCGTGTAAGACAAGGTTTGGGAACTCATATCACTTAGCACACTTGGCTTCCCTGCATTAATTTGAAAGAGTTTTAAACTTAGAACATGGCAAATAACTTGGGTTACTGGCCAGGATTTTGCTGGGACGGTGACTCATATTTGCATGCAATCGTTGCAAGCGCGTAGGGTAAGCAGGGAAGTGCTAGCTCCAGCTCCATTCTACAGGAAGCGCAGCTGAGTCCCAGGCCGGCCAGCGACATTCCAATCAGCACCCCTCTCGGGACCCCAGGCCACGCCTCGTGACGAAGCCAGTGTAAACTGGGCCAATGATTCTCAAACTTTGTGGTCTTGGGACTCCTATAAACACTTAAAAATTATGGCAACTCCCTAAGAGTCTGTTTTTGTGGGCTATATCTATCAATATTTACTAGATTAGAAACTGGTCAAATTAAAGGCATTTAGTCATTATATAAAAATAACAGCCCTGGCTGGTATGGCTCAGTGCATTGAGCGCCGGCCAATGAACCAAAAGGTCTCTGGTTCGATCCCCAGTCAGGACACAGGCCTGGGTTGCAGTCCAGGTCCCTGGTAGGGGGCGCTCGAGAGGCAACCACACACTGATGTTTCCCTCTTCCATCTTCCCTTCCTCTCTAAAAAAATAAATCTTTTAAAATAACAAAAACCGCATTATATATATATATTTAAAAATCAGTGAGAAGAATGGCATTGTTTTTTGCAAACTGTTTTAATGTCTGACTTTCGTATAAAACACATATTCTCATATCTGCTTCCCCATTAAGTCTATTGTGATTGATTTTTCTGTTAAAGGATAGGAAGGAAATTCAATCTCATAGAAATTTGTAGTTGGAAAAGAGAGGAATATTTAAATAGCTGTTCAAAATCATTGTGAATGTTCTTCTCTGCTACCATGCTAAACTCAAAAAGCAACATTTTCTTAAAAGGGTAGCTGCAAAGGTGGAATGTGAAACCAGGTCAGTAAATTCCGCCCCCACCCCGTTCCGTACTGGCCTGACTTGTGTTTATTTCAGTGGGTTTTTTACATGTGCATGATTTTGAAGATTTTATTTATTTTTAGAAAGAGAGGGAGAGAAACATCTGCAGGAGAAACATCGACTGGTTGTCTCTCACACGCCTCCAACCAGGAACCTGGCCTGAACCCCAGGCCTGAGCCCTGACCAGGGATCGAGCCTGCAACATTCCAGGTCATAGACCAGCGCTCAGTCCGCTGAACCACACCAGCCAGGGCATGTGCATGATTTTATAACATCACATACTGTCCATCTGAAAACTATTGGTTTACTAGTTATGGACACATTTCACTATAAAACATTTTTAAAAAATCACATCTGTTAAAATCACCACGATCTCATCAGAAGCGTCTTTAAGTGCTGGGAACGTGGTCAAGTTCTCAGTTTTGCAAAATCTTAAGTTTCTGTTGAAAGCTGGAAGTTTATCATTGGTAATAAATACAGTCAGTTATGTTTCTCAAAGTGTCAGGCTAACTTAGTTCATTTTTGGGAACATGCGTGCCACACACCCAAGTCCTTGCTACTCAATCAATCACTTTTCTCTGAAACGCCCCTCGTGCTTCAGGGTCTAGTGGAAGGGCTTTGTGCATACTTCCTACTGGTCATGCGGACTATTACAAAGCGCTGCGATGCAGTAAGACGAATGCGTTTTACTGTGTCACTGAGGGCTTCCCTGTGTGTAGCTGGCTGCGTGGTGGCTGAAGAGGGTGCTTCCTCTGCCGGGAAGTGGGTGGAGGTGCCAGTGGTGGCGCCAGTGGTGGCTGCCACTGCCTTCTCAAACGTCAAAAAGGCAAACATGTCTTAATTTATTAGAAACAATGTATTACTATGAGTACTGTTTTGATGCAAAGGCCTTGCAGACCCCGAGGGCCCGTGGACCTCGTCCTAAGAACTGCAGACTTAGACATCAGGGTAGAGTCCTGTTTACACAAGGTTATTATCTGCTTAAAGTTAAGAATGCTTTTCTTGCCAATAAATTTCCAGCATGTTCTCTTGGCCAGATTCAGATCCCGAGGCTTTGTGTGGTAGGTGGTGGCCTCCCCTCATTGCCTTCCCTGGGCCTGGCCCCGGCTCCCGGGCAGGACCCAGGGCTGCCCTGTCTCTTACGGGGGCTGCCCCAGCCGCTGCCGGCCCTGGGATGAGGTCTTCCCATTTCACACTCTCAGGGCTGCACAAAGACAACCTGAGAGGTCTCTGTGCTGCCCTGGAGTTTAAGTGGCTGAAGGAAAGGAGCTGCTGCTTGTCCTGGCTGTCCCAGGTCGGCCCCAGGTCGGCCCCAGGTCCGTGTGTGCAGGGAATGAGTGACCAAGGGAGTGAATGAGTGGATGAAACCACGTTTTCCCCAAAGAGCTTGCGATTCTGTGCAGCAGACGCCGTATCTCAGCGCCAGTGGGAGATGGGACTGAGTGGAAGAGCACCTGGGTGAGGCTGGGACAGAGCTGTCTGGGACAGGAGGAGACTCCAGCCACATGCTCCTGCTCGGGTATTTCCTGAGCACCTACTGTGCGCCTGCCCTGGCCAGGCCCCTGGCATCCAGCAGGGACCATGACAAGGTTGTGTGCTCACGGAGCTGGCATGTTAGTTGGGGGAGATGAGCCGGTATGCACATGAACAGGCAGTTCTGGATCACAGCAAGTGCTACGAGGAAACTGCTAACATTTCAGAGAGCTGGGGAAGGGGATGGAAACTGTTAGGGTGGCCACAGAGCATCCCAGGAGGTGCCACTGGAGCTGAGACTTGTGCTGTGACTCCATCAGCTGTTTGAAGAGCTGGAGGTAGGGGGCTTCTAAAGGAATGAGACTGTGCAAAGGCCCTGTGGTGGGAACAGCTCGGCATTGTTGGGGATCAAAGGTCGGTGAGACCTCCAGAGCAGGGCAGGGGAAAGGCACCCGGTAAGGTCAGAGGCGGCAGGAGCCCCGCGTGCAGGGCGCCAGGGCCTGGCGAGGAGTGTGGACTCCAGCCTTGGCCCAGTGGGAGCTGCTGCAGGTATGCAGCGGGGGGTTGGGGAAGGAGGGCGCGATCGGTAGCATCGCTGCCCTGGCCAGTGCGGCTCATGGGCTGGACGGTGTTCCACGAGCCAAAAGGTCGCCAGTCCGATCCCCTGTCAGGGCACATGCCAGGGATGCAGGCCAGGTCCCCAGCTGGGGGCTTGCGAGAGGCAACCGATCAATGTGTCTCTCACACTGATGTTTTTCTCCCTCTCTGTCCTTCCCTTCCCCCCTCTCTAAAAATGAATAAATAAAAATCTTAAAAAACAACAGCATCACTGACAGAGTCAGGAAGAAAGCGCAAGAACAGCCCACAGGATGGGAAGGCCACCAGAAGCGTCCCTGGGACATACCTGGCAGCGCCTGCAGGCCGCGGATGATCTCGCGCCGTCTGCCCTGCAGCGAGATGCGGTCTTCGGACATCATCAGGCCAAACATCACCAGGGAGATGAACTGACTGGTGTAAGCCTGTGGACAAATGGCAGTGCTGGCCGAGGGGCAAATGCTTGTGTGGCCACCACGCATGGGGGCCGATCACGACGCCCCCTCTCGCCTGCCGTCCACCCGCCAGCTGAGGGCCTCCCATGGGGCGCACGCGGCTCTTCACCTTGGTGCTGGCCACGCCGACCTCTGGGCCTGCATTGATGTGGACGCCGCAGTCGGTCTCCCGGGAGATGGAACTGCCCACAGTGTTGGTGACGCCCACGGTCAGGGCCCCGCGGTCCTTACAGTAGCGCAGTGCCAGGAGGGTGTCTGCAGTCTCACCTGCCACAAAGACCCTTCAGTTCAGCTGTGCACTTGCAGGTGCATGGCTTTGCCTGCGCGACCCCCTGCCCCCACCCATTTGCTCCCCATTCTTACACAAAAGTCGGTGCCCAGGCACAGCCACTTTGCACCCAGAAAGGAAAATGCATGCTCAAGAATTTTGCTGGTTGATTCGTAGATTCAAGATTTCACCACTGTTACATGACAAGCACTTCCTTACCCTCTGTTTCACTGACACACAGGGCAATGACGTGCGGGCCACTGTCCCCATCTTCCCTTTGAGGATGCAGGACTCAGAAGAGGAAATCAAGACCTTGCTTGCTCAAGGCCACACGCTGCGGGGACCGAGTCAGCGCCCACCTGGGCGGGCCTGGGCCTGATGCCCTGTATACGCTCTAAGCTGCCTTATTCAGAAGGGGCCCAGACTGAACATCTAAAAGCAAGAATGCTCCCAGATAGCGTGTCTCAAATAAATCTTCTTTTAAAGACAAACACTTCCTGCCGCCTCCCAGTGTAGAAAGTTATTTTTATAATAAAACTATTTAAATAGGTTCGTGCATAAGCCAGCACAAACTCCCTAAAGAGCTCAAACTAAATTAAATACAATCCAGGCCATAAAATCTAGCTCAGTCGACGTCTCCTTGACCACTGCGCGTGGCTGGGCCCTTCCTGGCTCTTCTGCAGCGCAGGCAGCTGCTACGGCACAGTCCTGTCCTCCCTCCAGATTCGCGCTGCACACACCGGGGTGTTGCGGGCCCTTCCTCAGGGCCCGCAGGGCTCGGGGCTCAGAGGCGGGGAGCAGGACAGCTCTGTCTTCATCAGCCCTGCTCCCCAGTTTTCGGAAAAGTATTTTTTAACGAACAGAAAGGGCCAAAAGAGATGAAACTTTAAACTCCTTCTGTGAAGACACTTAGGAGCTGCCACTATGTTATTTTCACATTAAATCTGCCTCTGTTCTTCAGTGAGTGGGTCCCACCAATTCATGAAACACCTTTTGGTTTGGATGGGATCCTAAACCCAAAGGCAACGTTGGCCGTGCCGGTTGCACGGCAGCTCCGCGCCCAGGCGCTCCGCCCAGCGGTGGCTGTGCTGCGCTAGTGTCCCTCGGCTCATCGTGGAAGTGGGCGCGGGACTCACAGTGCAGACGGAAGACCTAGTATCTTCTGGGACTTCCAGTGCTGCTTCCATTTTGTGCTTGGGTTCTTTCCTTTTATCAAAAAGAGGTACACTCTGAAGCACTTCTAGACGAAACAACATGTGGTCTGGGCGGGTTCCGAGTCACCAGGGGAGGGCAGGGGTCGCATGGGTGTGGGCAACATGAGGCCTGCTGAGCTGATCACCGCCGAGGCTCGGCGGTGCCGGACGGAGGTCTCTGCTTTTGTGAAGGCCTGGGCGTTTTTCATAATTAGAATGTTTTACAAGTCCTCCTAGAGCTCACCGTGACTCAAGTACATGGCCCGGAGTCACCTCTCCAATCTTCTGTGTGCCTGACTGTACCGAATGCCCAAGCCCAGTGCTCGGGGCAGCCAGGGGGTCTGCTGAGCCGGGGGCGCCCTGGGCCCTACCTGGAGCAGTGTCTCGCCACGCCTCCCCCCTGCTGGGAGTAACCATCCAGCCCTTGAACCAGCAGAATTTTGAAGAACTTTCTCAATTTAACCCAGCACACATTTATGGTGCTTTGGTGGATGGTCCCGTAAGCCTTGGACTTGAAACACCAGGAGGAAGCAGCCCTGATTGCGTGGTCCTCCCCTTAAATTGGGATAAAATGGGGCAGTAACCGATGTGGCTGACAGTTAAATGCCCAGGTGCACGAGAGGGTGGCACGAAGTCAGTGCAGAGAACTCCACCGGGTGGAGGAGGGAGGGAGGCGCACAGTGGGGCACCGAGGGGACAGAGCCGTGAAGGGAACCAACACACACCTGCACCCCTTACCTGACTGGCTTATGAAGAAGCAAACGTCATCCCTGAACACGGGCGTGTTCCTGTCCAGAAAATCGCTGGCAAGTTCAACCATCACAGGGAGCTCGGTCAGCTCCTCCAAAACTTGCCGCGTCTGCAGCCAACAAGAATGGGGACTAATGTCAGTCACAACGCTCCAGGGACACAGGGACCGTTTGTGATGTGGAGCCTCAGTGTCCGGGCACTCGGGGCAGCACGGTAGGAGTGAGGACTCCGTGCCGGCTTTCACGCCGGATCACAGGAACCACGTTTGGAAGGCTGAACACATGACGGCTGTGAGACGCATCCGGTCCGGGGCCGCAGGACCCGCCCCTCCCCCGGCCCCGCACCAAGGGCCCAGCGCACTGCACTTACGGCCACTGCGGCATGGTAGCTGGTTCCGCAGCCAATCACGATGAGCCGTCGGCACCGTCGAATCTCCTTCAAGTGGGCCTTCAGGCCGCCCAGGAGCACTGTGGAGCACACGCAGGCTGTCAGCGCGAGCCCTGTCCCACAGGGACCGCGCGGCGGCCCGGGGCAAGGCCCGGCGGTTACCTGTGCCGGTCTCAAAGTTGACCCGACCTCTCATCGTATTGAAAACGGATTCTGGCTGCTCGAAGATCTCCTTCTGCATAAACGCACTGAAGTTACCTGCTCAAATCAATGCCGACAAGGCAGGTCAGCGGCCACTTAGTTACATTCCCACGGCTCATCTTTTAATCAAGGCAGAAGTCACTGTGCTGTGAGACAGCGTGACACGTATAAAGACCAGTGCAGAGTACAGTCCCCAGGGGTGTCCCACCTGCAGCTCGCGGTGGCGAGTGAGAGGGAAGCAGGTGAGGTCTCAGTTTACACATCTGGTCCTCCCATCAAGGGTGGGGGGAGCAACAAACGGGGCTGTTCTTCCTGGGCGATGCTGCTCTTGGCGAGGCCGGGAGAAGCAAAACGCTTTACTCTGAGCCTGCCCTGCCTAGGGAAGGTACAAATGAAGCCCAAAGACACAGGCCACCCTCTTCCTAACAAACGCCCTCCTAGCTCCTGCGTTACAGAAAAGCCTTTCCAGCCGCACGTGCATGCTCAGCGCTCTGATCTGAATGGGGCTGGGTGAGGTCCAAGGGACCCTGTGGCCACAACACGCGAAGGCCCCCGACGGCCACTGCGGCTGGAGACCTGGGGGTGTGCAGACGAGGTGGGGACGTCCTCTGGGACAGGCCCAGTGTCACAGCATCCGTCTGCTACCCTCACAGGGGACCTGGACCAAAGGGGCCACGAAGCAAGACAGGCGAGGTGGGGCAGGGCCACTGCAGACACCGGATCGGGGAGAGCCGTGGTGCCTCAGGGGACACAATCGAAAGGAGCCCATCCTGTGAGAGGAACAGCACAGGCGGTGCCCGGCCCCCCTCCCCCCCCGCCTCCGGGGCAAGCCCAGGACCTGCCCAGGTGGGCGACAGGGCGGTCAGGTGGGCAGGCGTCTGGGAGAGGGCAGAGTGAGGCCGGAACAGGCTGCCTGTGGGGGCCGTGCCTTTGATTTTCAGAATGGAAGGAAGCCATCGCAGGGCTGTAAGCAGCAGGGCGAAGGGCCCGATCTAGGCCCTTAAAGGTTTACCCAGGCTGTCCTGTGGAGAAGGGGGTGCAGGGAGGAAGCGTGGGTGCAGGGAGAGGGACTCTCCTTGAAAGGAGAAAGTGGTCTGCAGTTCCCTCTCCCCGCAGGTCTCCTGCCCAGAGAAGAAACAACGCTGGGAAAGGGCCCCAGAGTCGGTGAAGGGGGGCGGCTGATGTCCTCGTCACATCGAGCAGGGGGCTGGCGCCCGGTATACTCTGACGCTGCCTTCCAGGAGCCAGGACAGGCTCCCCACATCCCGAGACCACCTGCAACCCCTTCCTGGAGGCCCCGGCAGGCAGGAGGGCTGTGCCCCGGGCCCTCAGAGGACACCTGCCTTTCATGATCTGCTGCAACTCCATCTGCAAGGTCTGGATGGCTCGAGACGGGTCATCACTGGCCGAACGCTTGACCCGGTGAATGGAGAGTTTCCCATCAGCCACTGCGGCAATGTCGTCATCCTCGAGAAAGATGACCCGGTTGGTGTGTTCTATGATGGCACTGAGGCAAGGAAAACACGGCATCACCGGCGGGGACGGTGCTCAGCAGCTGCAGGTCGGCAGTCACTCGCTGCCTCCCCAGTGCGAGTGCACACCGGTGCCCTGGGTGGCCTTTTGGGAGGGATGGGACATCACGCCCTGACTTATTCCCTGGAGGAGGGCCACCCAGGACAGAAATCAGCCACCACCTCTGCTGGGCCAGGAGAAAACAGGTCCCACAGCTGGGGGGGACGGGTGGGGAGGGAGGTCTCGCTACCTGGCGTCGGAAGCAAAGAAGAATTCCACGGCTTTATTGCCCACGGCGTGAAGGCAGGTCGAGCTGTCCAGCCTCTGCACCCTCGATTTACACATGTTCTTCACGTTCTCAATGTTGCCTGGCATGAGGGAGCAATCCCAAATCCCGCTAAACTCTTTTGTTTGACTAACATGAAGCATGGAGCCCGTTTCCCCTTTGAATATGTGTGGGAAAAATTTGCAATTTTTAGCTTTGGCTGCATCAGCCAAATTGTGTGAATGATCCCCAAATAGCAAGAGCATTTAGACGGCCACAGAGAGAATGCACCAAGTCAACAACGGAATCTGGGACCGGGTGCCTGCCTATACCAGAGCCCACACGCCGTTCCCTTGACTTTGGTATGTGCTTTAAAGTATCCATGACAAAAAGGCTGTTGGAAAAACGGGGCCAGGTCTCCGTTGCTGAGAAACTTCTGGACCTGGGGCCCCGTGTGTGCAGGTGGGCGGGAGCGGCACCGGCGGCCCTGCTGAAGTACTTACGGGTCCTGTACAGGATGGGGATCTGTTCTGTGGAGAGCTTGTATTTGCTCCGCACGCCGATGAGCAGGGGGCTGCCTCTCCTGTAGGGATGAGAGGGGATTGAGTTGGCCATCGCCCCGACACCCGAATGGGGCTGGGCGTCCTCTGAGCACCCAGCCGGCTCCCCGAGACCCCGCAGGGGTGCTCACCAGGCTTGGAGCAGGGACCAGCAGGTTAGCGTGAGGAACCCCAGCTCATTCCTGTGGTGCCACCCACCTGCCCAGCGGGTCCCTGCCGGCGCTGGCGTCGGAGGCCACGTGCCTGTGAGGCCCTGGCGGCAGCAGGTGCACCGGGGGCTCCGCCTGCCTCTGCCCCCTGCTCTTCTCGAACGACGCCCTCAAGCCCCAGGGTCTGCACAGAGACTCTCTTTGCCTCACCCCCACCTCCCTGGCTCAGGCGGCTTCCGGCTTCAGGGGGCTTTCAGTTGACAGGTTCTGCTTGACCTTGTGGGCTATTTAAAGCGTTTTTAGGGCGGTTTTGTCTCTGCCTGAGGAATACCTCAGTGAAGCCTGGGAGGTCCATCACCAAGGGGACGGTGGTGGCCAAGGCCTGCAGCTGACCCGCGGGAGGGCCCCTGTCCCAAGCCCTCTGCGTCCTCCACCCCAGCTAAGCCGCCAGTTGCAGAAGCCGCCTTCAGTAAAGCGCCTCACGGAATTCCTTTCTGGTTCCCAGCTTGTGCAGCTAATGTGTTTATAAGGTATTATTCCGTGTTTTAAATGTCATCCTGCCTCCAAAACCTAATTATTTGCTCACTCTTATAAATTACAGTGTGCAAATCAAATTCACAACGCGTGTGCACTGCAGTAAGCAGTTCACTTTTGAAACTCACACACTTCAGACCTGCCGTTCTCAGCCAGAACTACGGGGATAGTAACATTCCCGTAGCTACTAAAGGACACGTGCCTTTCCTCCCCTACGTGTTGCCTTGTTAATAAGAAGAAAACACTGAGAATGTATTAATAAGACCATTTCAGAGCTCTGTCTCGAACACATTAATTAGAATACAATGGAGTAATAATTTACATCAGCCGATTTCTTGCTACCTAACATCAACAGCTTACTCATGGATGACGTGTCAAGTCAGCCTGCATCCAGCCCGTATACATCCATTTGCTCTTGTAACCTTAGGACCCAACACAGACCCTAAGTCTCTTCATAACGGTGTTTTCCAGTGGTGTTGCCTGTGTGGCCCTCACTCTGATTTCTCCAAGGAGAGGGACAAAGTCTGTGTCTTTGCAGAAGGTTCTGTGAGCTGCTGGAGTATTTGAGACACTCTTTCGTCACATATAAAGCATTTCAGAACCACAGTTCCGGCCCAGCGTGGAGCTGGCTTAGGTAGTCTTTGCAAGAGCGACCGTGGACAGTACCATGGTTATCTGACTCTCTTGGCAAATGTCTCCCGCCAGAGTTTTTTATTATGGGTTGAGCTCTGTGGCTTCTCCAGACTTTGTAAACTAAACTATAACGCTCCCAACTCATCCCCAAGTCTGTCCTGCAGATTATAGAGCCATAATTACAGGCAGTTTAGAAAAATAAAGCTTTATTGCTTTTTCACACTGTCTTCTCATTCATTTAGAACAGTAATATGATGATGATATCGGATTTTGAAAGGGTTTTTTAAATTTGATAAGGACCAACTGGTATTATATAATTCTATGGTGTGAAGGAATAAAATTCCAAATGATGAATTAAGTCCTGTCTTAGAAGAAATAAAAAAATGACATGTCAGTGCGTCTCCTGCCCAGATGGTCGGACAGCCTGCAAGGAAGGGCCCCCTCGTCTGGCCCGGCGTTCCAGGGCCGCAGGCGCACTTTCGATGGCTCCCCAGTGCCCGCAGGGGACCGGAGGCCCCGCAGAGCTGCCCCACTGCCCACGTCCCAGTCCCCGCCGGCCCTTGAGTGCCCCATGACCTTGTTCACTGCTGTCCCCATGCCTGGCAGTAAGCACACAGAGACTGGAAGAGCCAAGTCCCACCAGTACCCCTCCCTCCTAGCCTAACTACAGATCGAAGCCGCGCCACGCTGGCTCGGGGCCCCTGCCTTTCCTCCCACTGGCCCCTCTGCCGGCCTCCCCCAGGCTGACACCGGCTCCCCCAGGGCATCACCATCTCTGCCTTGCTCTGTCCTTCTGCACAAATGTTCAGTCCTTAAGGGCAGGGAAGGTCTGGTGTCACCAGGTCCCCCGGGCCCAGCACACAGTATGTGCTCAACAAATATGAGTTGGATGGATAGATAAATGGATAAAAGTATGGTGGATGGATGGACAAATGGATGGATGGATGGATGAACAGATGGACAGACAGATGCGCAGATAGATGGATGAATGGATGGACAGATGAATGGATAGGTAGACGGACAGATGGATGGATGAATGGATGGACAGACAGATGAATGGGTGGACAACCAACCCACCTGAATATAAAACAGTAGGATGTCACTCACACACCTGCTTGTGTAAATCTACAGTGTTGGGGACTCTAGGGGACTCTAACAAAGGGACATGTAGGCTGATTCCTGCGACCGCCCCTGCTTCCGTGAAGGTGATGAAGCTGGAGCTCCGGGCCCGCAAGGCCCCTTCCTTACTGGATTCAAACCAATGTTCATATTTTTTAAAATTTAATCTTTATTGTATTTTTTTCCATTACCATTTAGTCCTTTTATATCTCCCTCCTCTCAGCAGTCACCACACTGTTGTCCATGCCCATGAGTTCTTTTTCCTTTTTTGCTCCATCCCTCCACCTCCTGACCTCCCCTGCTGCTAGCTGTCACCTGCTCTGAGTCTGTCCCCATTTTTCTTCTTAGTTCAGTTTGTTCACTAGATTCCACATGTGAGTTAAATCATATGGTATCTGTCTTTCTCTGGCCTATTAGCATAATGTTCTCCAGCTCCATCCTTACTATTGCAACGCGTAAAATTTTTCTTCTTTTTTACAACTGAGTAATATTCCATTGTGTAAGTGTCCCATAATTGTTTTATCCACTCATCTACTGATGGATACTTGGGCTGCTTCCATATTGTGGCAATTGCAAATTGCCACAACGAACACAGGGGTGCTTATGTTCTTTCGAATTAGTGTTTTGGGTTCCTTCAGATATATTCCCAGAAGTGGGATCACTGGGTCGAAAGACAGATCCATTTTTAATTTTTTGAGGTACCTCCACACTGCTTCCCACGGTGGCTGCACCAGCCGGCCTTCCCACCAACAGTGCAAAAGCATTCCCCTTTCTCCACATCCGTGTCAGCACTTGTTTGTTGATTTACTGACGACAGCCATTCTGACCGGTGTGAAGTGGTATCTCATTGTGGCTTTAATTTGCATTTCTCTGATAATTAGTGACATTGAGTATTTTTTCGTATGTCTATTGACCATCTGTATGTCCTCTTTGGAGAAATGTCTATTCAGGTCCTTTGCCCATTTTTTAATTGGATTATTTGTTTTTTTGGTGTTGAGTTTTGTGTTTTATAAATCTTAGATATTAACCCCTTATCAGATGTATTGGCAAATATGTTCTCCCATTTCATGGGTTGTCTTGTCATTTTGTTGATTGTTTCTTTTGCTGTGCAAAATCTTTTTAGTTTGATGTAGTCCCGTTTGCTTATTTTACCTTTTGTTTCCCTTGCCTGGGGCGATATATCTGATAAAAAATTTCTGCCATCAATGTCCAAGATTTTGCTGCCTGTGTTTTCTTCAGGATTTTTATGGTTTCGGGTCTAACATTTAAGTCTTTGATCCCTTTTGAATTCATTCCTGTGTGTTGTGTAAGAAGGTGGCCTAGTTTCATTTTTCCGCATGTATGTACCCAATTTTCCCAACACCATTTATTGAATAAACTATCTTTAGCCCGTTGCATGTGCTTGCTTCCTCTGTCAAATATTGACTATAATGGTGCATCTTATTTCTGGGCTCTCTATTCTGTCCCATTGATCTATGTGTCTGTTTTTATGCCTGCTGTTCTGTTACTCTGGCCTTGTGGTATAGTTTGAGATCAGGTAGTGTGACTCCTCCAAATCTGTTGTTCTTTCTCAGGACTGCTGTTGCTATGCTTTTGTGGTTCCATATAAATTTTTGAAATATTTGTTTTCATAATTTTGCATGCTTTTTCTAAAGGGAGCCTTTGGAATTATACATGTTTTAAGCCCCATGAAAGCTGGCTCTACCTTTACTATATAATTTTACTTTAAATTTTAATGTGTTGTCAACTTCTAAAAAATATGGAGATTTCAAATAAAAACCCTCTGGTTTTTCTTTAAACGAATCAGAAGCTCTGACCAGAGAGATGATAGGGTACAGTCTTCGTGGCCAAGCTCCCGGTGGCCTTTGGAAACAACAGTGCCTCCCAGTTTTCCAGAGGCCCCATGGCCCCTGTGCCACAGGAGAAGTTATTATATCTTAGTTATTTGCTATTGGAAATATCAATGCGTTCGTCTTACCTCGTGGCGACAGCCTCTCCTGGGTAATGGATACTCTTGAAAACCAGTGCGAATGCTCCTTCCTGAAAACACAGGGAAGAGAAGCAAGAACACCTCACTCTGGCTGAGCCAGGCCACTGCAACCCAGCCTGCGCCCAACCAGGCTCCCTGGGCCCCACGTCACAGCGGTGGCCCTACGGTCACGCCAGCCGTGCTCACTCGGGGCACCAAGTACAATGGCAGGGTGACTTCAGGAGGACAGCGGCAGAGACGGTGCCGCGCTGAACTACGAAGGCCAGACCCCGTGGATTTCCTCATGAGCAACAGGAACCACACCTGGCGAGGCTCACGAGGAGCACGTGCCAGCTCGGCGGCTCATGGGGGGCATGAAAACGAGGGCCCCGGTGAGCGCCGGGGCCAGGGCTCCTCCCGGGACAGCACCTGCTCAGCGAGCGCCTGTGAAGACGAGAGGGGCCGATGCCCCATGACCTGTGCTTAGCTCGACTCCCGTAGGAGCTGGGGTTCAAATCCTGGCTCTGCCCTCCAGCTGTCTGGCTTCTGGGAACCACTGCATCGGAACGGTGGCTGCCATACAGAGGACACAACAGAAGCACGAGCTGGCATTACTGTGATTATTATTTCTATGGCGACGACTGTCAGCTGTCCTCTGTGCCTCCGCTTGTTGGTTCGTACAAGCCAGAACTAGAATCCCGGTCTCCTAACTCAAGACTCCAAATGCTTTTTTCATGTAGGATCCTTGGTGCAGAATTCTCTCCTGCGTTCTGACCACCCCGCACTAACCTGCCATGACCCTAGTAGACTGTGGTCAGGAGTGACCGCTCTAAGTCTGGGGTTCTGCACGCAATCCCCGAGGCGTGGTGGGGCCCTGTGCGGCCAGCGTGCTGTGGCCGCTGCCAGCTCCGCCTTCCAGCCCGAGGGACCAGGTCTGCACCCCCGGGCCTCTGAGGGCCCCCCATGTGGCCCAGTTCGCAGGGGCGCCAGGCAGACCCAAGCAGCCTGACATTTACTCTGCAGGACTTGTCTAAGGAGGCAATTTTTCTCCTTTTTCATCTCACAGCACACCTAAACTACTAAAATCCTGCGGCATGCCAAAAATTGTTTTTTTACTCATCTGATAAAAAAAATAGGTATAATTTTGATCCAGTCATACAAGATGGCTATTGTTGTTCGTTTTTCATTTGACAATCTAAGGAAGAAGTAGTCAGTGCCCTGACTCACTAGTCGGGTACGGCGTGTGTGACAAGTCCCTGGGGCCCATCGCCTGAAAATCGCTGGTCTCCAACAAAGTGGGACTGAGCAGAATATGCTTCTCGTTCTCTGCTCCAAAGAGCTGTGTTGCTTCAGGTAAGAGAAGTCGCTGAAGTTGAAAAGTGCCCTCCTTGGGGGGTACTTCTGAAATTTTAAATTACAAATGGAGAAGAGGAAGTACTGCCTGCAAAGCCAAGTTGTCTTCTCACACATTACACAGCATATTCATTAGACTTGATGTACGGGCCAGACTCTTATAAATATGTCCACTACACTATAAACCCCCCAAATGGGAGTCACAGAGCAAAGGGCTCCACGGTGGACTTAGTTTTAAAAGACTCTGAAAACTCCAGAGGGTGAAACGTTTTGACGCACAGCGGTGTGGCCGCAGCCGCCTCTGGCTGCAGCGTGACGGATCCTCCTTGGCCTGAGCACTGTCCCCAGGCTGCCCCCTGGGGAGGGGCTGCTGGGCGGCACTGAGGCCCGAGGGGCGGGTCCTGGGAGGTCTGAAGACCTCGCCTCCTCCCCCGCCATCCCTGGGCAGCCCAGTCTGCTCCCCCTTCTCCTCCGAGTAGGGGCTCCTTTTGGTCATCCCCCGGCGCAGGCCTCTCAGCGGGGCCTTTGTGCTGTGGGCCCAGCCCTCTGGGATGCCACGCATCTCCCTCCTGGATCCTTCCCTTCAGCTCCCAGACCTGATCTGATGTCTGTACCAAAAGCACAACCCTCCTTCCGAACTGCAACCCCTCCGGCCACTGGGCCGTATCTTTGCGCCCTCCCTCTCCAGGCAGACTCCTGGATTGTGGGCACCAGCGCCCTGCACCGCCTCTGGCTTCCTTCCATCCACGCACTCAGGAAGGACACTGGGCCCCTGCGCCCGCGGGACAAATATTTGCTTTACTGAAACGGTCCGAAAGACCGCAATTCTAAGTCAACATCAGTGAAATGCATCTGGGGTATATAACTAACGGCGCCAACAACTCAATTGAAAAGAAAACACTGGGAACTACCACCAGGGCCCTGTGCGCCAGCTGCGACCCGGAGGCCTGCCCCAATTTCATGGTGTTAAGGCGAGGCAAGGCACTTCCAGTTGAGGGTTACCTCAGAACTTCTCCAAATATTATAAGGAAGTAACATCTTAAGGCCAGGTGTTGCAGACAAGCCAACTTGAATCCTCAGATACTTTACACAAACCTGCCTAATAAATGCTCATGCAAAACGGCGGGGTGCCCTAGGCAGCTGGGACTTGTCACTCACCAGCTGTTGAATGACCCTCTCGACCAGTGTTGAAAACGTGATGTCCTCCATCTCTCTGTTGTCGAACACATATTTGATCAGCTTGGCGATGGTCTCTGTGTCTGTTTCTGACTCAAACTCGTAGCCTTTGCTTTCCTGGAATAGTTGGTTGAACACAGGGTCAGATGACGGTCATTGTGAAACGCTGGCCTGGCCAGCTTCCTCTCCTCCCTTCTGACTTGCCCTTAGAGTGACTTAAGGAGCGAACAAGAAAAATGGGAAAAAGATGAGAAATGTTTGCCAGGATCACGCAGCGCAACACAGCTGAGTCATTCAGAACCCCAGAGATGGCCCCACCTCCGCGCCCGTCCCTGCCACGCCTCTGGCTGTTGCAAAATCACAGCAGTGAGAGTGATCAAATGAGCTGAGTCAAATCCACCCACATCCCGGCCAATGCCGCAACCTTTCCGCCCCTGAGACACTGGCCATCTGCCTTCCCGCCCCACGTTCCACGTGGTGAGTTGATAATTGAGTGCAGGCACTTTAATAAGAGAAAGTGCGTGTTCTTTTGATTCTGCGGCAAGGGGGTGGCCCTTGTGGGCCCGGCCGCGCTGCTATCTCCTCCAGCAAGATCTGAGGTGGCCGCTGAGCCAGGGCCGAGGTTTGCGTCCAGAGTGGTGACGTGGCCAAGAGCAGCTTTCACTCCACTCCACCTCGGCTTCCGGAGGGAAATGAGCTGGCTGGCAGCTTCTGGGGAGACCACGTGACTTAGACGTTACCCAAGAGTAGTGTCTTACCAGAAATTTCCTCAGGTCTTTGTAATTTGTGATGATCCCATTGTGGATGACCACGAATTCTGGAAGAGAAGTTTAGTCAAGAGAGAAGGGCTATGAAGATGTGAAGTTCAAGTCAGATGCGAAGGGAAACAATTCAGGAGCTTGAAACTGTACATGCTGCTCCTGTAGGCATGGCTGCTAAGCAAGCGTCATTTGTACTTGCCAGCACTGACGTCTGCTAGGACTACAATTTCAGCCTGAGAAACTACATATTCCTCCTTCAGTAAAAACCATCCACCAACCTGACCGCAGACAGAACTCCACTTGTGGTCTACAGGGTCCCCAGATAAGCTTTGCTATTTATGTCAATGGGGATGATTAACCCTTCATTACCCAGAAATAACTCCAGGAATTCCCACTGGTTCAGAGAAGTCACACACTAAAGGTCCACGCACGTGCTTCTGTTTGACCATAGTGAACTGTAAAAAGATTTGAGCTGAGCCCTGGCTGGTGTGCCTCAGGTGGTTAGAGCATCGTTCTGTAAACCAAAAGGTCACAGGTTCGACTCCCAGTCAGGGCACACACCTGGGTTGCAGGTTCAATCCCACCCCATCGGGGTGTGTGCAAGAAGCAACCGATTGCTAGGTCTCTCTCCCACACCTGTGTTTCTCTCTCTTTCTTTCTCCCTCCCTTACCCTCTCTCTAAAATCAATAAGCATGTCTTTGAGCGAGGATAAAGAAGTTTTTTAAAAGATTTGATCTGAAAATTTTTGAGTTTTCACATAAAAATCCCGCTTTTCTTAGAGGAAAATCCCAAGCAGCTCTGGCGTCCCTGGGCTCCCCCACATCCTGCGTCTGATGGGCCACCAGCACGCCTCCCTGCTGGGCCGCACCGGCCGCGCTCCAGCAGCAAACCGCGCCCTTGGGCAGCCCCCCTACGGGCGGGGGTGGGGTGGGGGAGGGCCAGGGCAGCCCCCTTCGTTGCCTCATACCCCTCGATCAATAGTTGAGACCAGCCTGAAAGTTTTTCTGAGCAAGTAACCTTATTCCCCCTTCAGCCTAGACAGCGGAAAGGCTCCATTACACTTGAGATCAATAATTCCAGCAGGATGTGTCCAGATGTTGGGTGTTCACCGTAAATATCGACTATGACTGTTCAGCGAAACTTTGGATCACCAACTCAAGTTTTTCTTCCGTACAAGGCAGATTTTTCCTGTTACATCTTTTAATACCTTTTCCTTCATTCCTTTTCTTTATTTTTACCTTAATTTCCTCTATATGTTTTTTATAGCATATTGCTTATTTTTGGTGTGGTCACACCAAAAAATGAGAGGGCTCGAATAAAAAAAGCTGTTGCCAGCAGGGGCACTAGCCCAGCTCGCCCTCCTTACAGCCTGAGTGCCTTCCCCGCTGCACTTGCGCTGGTCCTGCCCAGGGACCACCGCTGGGCCTCTCCCGCATTCATCGCCTCTGGAGCCACCCCCTTCTCAAGCTGCTCTCACGTCTACTGTGACATTATTTCTTACACTATTTTTTCTTCCACCTCAATCTACTGTCTTCTCAGCGTTAATGTGTTTCCTAGAATCTGTGTACTCTCGGTGGAAGCTGCTCTGCGTGCTTGCTTCTCTTGAGCGACATGGTTGCTGGGTGTCAGCCTTGCTTAAAAACATGCTCTCCAGCTATCAGTGATGAATTGCCACAGACATTTTACTAACCTTTTCTTACTTCCCATGTTGTTTTTAATTAGTCATCCTGAGTCAGGGCAGGCACCCCCAAGTTTGGGTGTGGGGGGATCTCCTGGGAGCCTCCCTGCTCTGGGGACTCAGAACCGTCATCGGCCGTGGCGTGGCACTCGCCTTATCACCTTGGTGGGCAGGGGCGTGACGTCTCGGGGCCTGGTACGGACACGGCTCCGCAGCCTCCTCTGCCACCCGGCTGCTCCAGGAGCCAGCCCGTGCCTGGCTCAGGGTTTAGCTGGACGTGCATTCTAGGTCCTCAGCACCCTGGGGTCTGCTGCCTTCCTCCTGGGTAGGGTGCCTGCCCCAGCAGTGGGAGGCCCTAACGGTCCAGGGCACGGACCAGAGCCAGGGAAAAGTCCAAGCAAAAACCCCACCGACCCCGTGGCCGCAGGGTCGCCTGGCCCCTGTGCTGTCCCCGGCTGCCCTGCTGAGAAGGGTGTGAGTGGCGTCCTGTTTTGCAGAAGCCACCCTGCTTTCCAGGCTGGGCGGGGGGCGGGGGGGGGGGCGGGGGCGGCTCTGCCCAGCAGCCCGGTTCCCAGGAGCGCTAACTGCAGTGCGTCTGGTGGAACATTCAGCTAAACGCCTGTAATAAGCACCCAGAGCCCGTCGGAGCGTCTGGTCCCTGCTCTGACGTGCGGCTTGGCAAGCAGCTGCCCTGTGCCACGGGGGTCTCAGGGCGGGCTCCCAGCTGCCTCCAGGGACCACTCTCCTACTGGATACCCTCCTCCATTGTGCCTGGCCGGGAGCCTTTGGGGCTCCTGACCTGACCAGGCCCAACCCAGAACGGGGACCCACACGAGGGCCCAAGTGATGGCTCACGCCCCTGCCTGGAGCCCTGGGAGCAGTCAAGGGCTCAGCCCCTCCCCAGCTCACGTGCCTGTTGCGTCCTATTGCAGGAGGACCGGCCACCCTGGGGCTGACCACAGGGCCCCCAGGAGCTGCCACTGGGGGCTCAGACCTACCAGCCCACCCCCATGAGAGGGGGGGCGTGGCTAAGGGAACCAGGGCGTGGAGCGATGTCCTGGGAGCCCAGGCAGGTGACGAGGACCCGTGAGCTGGGGCCGGCACGCGGGAGCAGAGGGGGATGTGGAGGCCCGCAGCTCAGCAGAGGGGCTGCCGCGAGCTGCGGCCCTGTCCCTGCTCTGGCACAGCCCTGCTGCCTGCCAGTGGGAGTGCGAGGCTCTGCGAGCCCACTCACCACGGCTTCCGGTGTGTCAAGCGATGCCAGAGAAGTCTGGACTTGCACACACAGCCATTCTCCTTTTAAAAAAATGTGAGGTGAGCCGGGTCGACGGTCCTGCTATGGGAGGGGCTCCTGGGCCGCCACCTGCAGCCTCTGCTTCTCCAAATCCCAAGCCCTCAGCCGAGGCCTCTGTGGCCGGGGGGGCCCCGTGTGGAGCAGGGACCTCAGGCTCCCGTCAGCGAGGGAGCACTGTCTTGCCCTCGAGTGCCCGGACACTTCAGTCCCTTGTTCGGGAACAGCGTCTAGGCCCTTCACCCCTAGTACTGCCAAGTCCCCTCAGGCTGGGTTCCCAAGAGCCAGCAGTGCCTCGTTTTACTGTGGACAACGGGGAGGGGGGGCAGTCAGCACTGCCCTGGGGCCAGGCTGCCGCGGCCTCCTGTCCGGGGCTGGTGCCACCACTTCGGGCCCAGGGGGATGACAGGGCAGCTGAGGAGCCCAGTGGCGGTGGCGTGGCTCAGCCTGGCACGGTTGGGACAGGGAGCAAGGCCTCGATACGTACCGTTGCCTTTGTCTGATCGCTGCGGGTGGCTGTTGACCGCACTGGGAACCCCGTGGGTGGCCCAGCGTGTGTGCGCAATGCCAAAGTGGGTCTCAAACTCCACTTCTAAGTCCATGCTGTCTTGCTCTAGATAAACAAAAAAAAAATTCCGTCGGCCACACTTTCAAAGTGAGCATTGGCACAGTAGCGATGTGTCAAGGTGGTGTCGCGTCGTGGAGACACGCCAGCACATCCCACAAGCGACCCCCAGGCCCCGCCTTCCTGGGGTTTCAGTCAGACTCCTGCTGCTTTTTGTGTAGTACTCAGCAGTAACCCAACTCACTCAACTGAAATAAACCTACTCTAAAATGAAAAATGTCTATCCCTACTACAAGTGAAAAAGTAGTATCACTTGCCAGAAAAATTAAAATAAATACATAAGTACCAAACATTTTTTTAAAAAAATATTTCTTCACGCACCACTACCTGAGATAAACCATCCCGCGCTTTGGGAAACACAGTTCCACACCGCGGGCTGGACTCCCCCTCTCTTCATCCGTGCTAAGACAAGCCAGTATCTTTCGTTTCAAATACCGTTGGAATGGAAGATTTCCAAGTGACCCATGCAGCACTTGCTGCTCTGACCCGCCGTGCTTTCCACTTACTGTAAAGCTCCTCGTCGAGAGCCTTCACGTTCCCCTTTTTCTTGACCAGCTGGATGTGTCTCTCTTTGACTTCACTGTTGTTTCCATCGATCGCCACACCTGCAGGTGAACACGAGTTTCTGTATTGGAGCGTAAGGTCCACCTCCTAATCGTCTTGGAAAAGGAAGGCTGCGACTGTGGCTGCACTTAGCAGCCAGCAGGGACTGTGTGCCTGGACCCCAGGCCACCACCGGGGGATCCCTGGGGGCCTGTGGGCACAGGCACCCCAACACCCGCCCTCCGCTTACGGGCATGCGTCTGGCTGGTTGCTGTGCTCCTGCTGCCTTAGCTGGTCCTCTGCTGCCAGTGGCCCAGCCCCTCACTGCTGGCCCTCTGGTAAGCTCTGACTGGAGTATGAGATGGCAGGCCCTCCCTTGCTCCCGAGCGGTGCCATTGAAGGTGGGAAACAGACTAAGTGCCCCCAGCCGGGCGGAGGAGGGCCAGCTCGGAGAGGGCCGCCCTGCGGGGGCTGTGCAGCCGCCCAGAGGGCCGTTAGGGGTTCAGGGTGATGGACAATGCTGAGATGAGTGAAAAAACTTATAAAAGTACAAAATGCTATAATCACGATGAGGTGAAAACAAAAACGTCCACGTAGGACACCTGCCCTGGCCACCCTCACCCCCAGACCACCCCAACCACGACAGGAGGAGGGGCACAAAGGCGCCCGGGGGGCACTTCGGAGGCCGGTTTCTTTAGTGGTTTCTTCCTTCAGCTTTTCTACAGCTTCCAGATGCGATCAAAGCACCGTTCCTATGGTGGAACCTGCAGGGCCTACCTGCCGAGTCATAGCCTCTGTACTCCAGCCGCTGCAGGCCTTTGATGAGGGTTTCAAAAATCTCCTTCCGGGTCCGGGGGACTCTGTAGTTCATGTAGGCAAAGATTCCTGTTGAAAGAGAAGGACACTGCGTGTTTATTAAACGTCAGGTCTGTGTGTAGAACGCAGTCTGGGCACGCAGACACCCGTGGTCCTGCAGGAGGGCTCCTGGCCACGCATAGAGGGACCGCCACGCTCCCCCTGCCTCTGGAGGGCGTCACAGGCACCCCTCCCAGGTGGCAAAAAGACCCACACTGCAGCTGAACGCAGCAGGTGACAAACCCCCGCCCGCCCCCCACTGCCCCCCGCCCCCCGGCCTTGCCACTCCACCAAGGAGAGGTTTTCATGGATGGACTTGCAGGAGATGAGGTTCTCACTACAGCATGTCCATAACAGCAAAGACCAGCAAAACCACTCGACCACCCCAGGGCATCTGTGAGCCCCCACCTCCGTGGACTCCTTGACTGGGTGCTGCGGCCTCTGCCCCCCACCCCCACCCAGGCCCGTCGCTTGTACCGGGAAGCTCCGCTGTACAACAGCAGGAGGAAAACCGTCCCGTGGCCCTGGAGGATCGGTATCTTTAAGGGAGGCCCACATGCAAGGAAGGGTTTTTTTGGCTTTATTTTCTGTATTCATATTGCAAAATCATATTTTCCTAACTAGGAAATAACAGACGTCATGCTGGTTCTCTCCAAGCTCCTCTGCTCACTCCCCTGCTTGAGAACACAGACCTCTGGGCTGTCTCTGTCTCGCCCTGCGAGTGCCCCATCCGGTCATCCCTCTGTCCTTACATCCTCCCTGCCCTCCTCCAAGCTCAGCTCCAGCCCCACCTCCCAGGGCAGGCTTGTCAGGCCTGGGCTCTGACCCCCACTCACACAGGGCTGCCCCGGTGCTCTGGCACCTGGGGACCTCTGTATTCCCTGACAGGGACACAGGCTGGCACTCCTCTCTGTATCTTTATCACTGTATCTCAGCATGTGACCCTTGTTCAATGGATGCTTGTGGAACAGAGTGACTCTGAACTTGTACTGATCAGTGAAGCAATGGTACAGATTATGAAAAAGTTACTGGGTTTCTGGCATATTCGTAGTAACTCATTGAGGGCTCACCCTGTGTCAGGCACTGGCCAAGCATTCCCACGCAGGTGTCAATCAAAGCTCGCAGCAGCCGTAGAGGTCAGACCTGCTATCACTCAGAAGCCTGGGAAGCTGTGATTGGGCCAGAGTCAGGAGCAGAACCGTGGGGACCTGACTTAAACACTCCCAGCACTGGGCAGCGCTAAGGGATGGGTGCGGTTAAAGGCTTATTTCCCCAATTTTAGTTTTAGGAAAGAATATACCTACCAAGAAGGACTTCTGGGGGCTCTCATGCAAGCTGTGCTTCAGGGAGAAGTTTGCACCAAACTGCCCCCTGCACTGTGTCCCTGCTGTCCGAGCAAGCCTTTATAAAGGAGCTCCTGGAATCCTATTTCTATCGAGGGGACTGAGACTTTCCCTGTCCAATCAGAGCTGTGCAACTATATCCCAATTAGCATCTTCAACAACCAATCAGAGCAGCGTCATTCTGACCAGTCAGGAGAGTACCTTTTGGACCAATCAAACTGCAAAGATTTGCAGTCCTTATTTGCATGAGGACAAACCAATCAGGGACCAGGGCGCAGATTTCCATCTACACAAGTCAACCCCCTTCTGGCTCCTAGAGCGCGCTTTCCCTTTCCCCTGAGGACTTCCTGGCTGGAGCTGGAACACTGAAACCCCTCACTGGCGCAGACCGGCGCAGACCGGCGCGGAGCAGAACACTCAGATCGCAGAGCCGTCCAGTCCGCGGGCCCTGGCCCCGGGGCCGGCTCCCAGCCGGCTATTCTCGGGGCTGCGCTGTATCACAATGAAACTGTTTGCACTGAATATAATTTCCTTCTCTGCACTCCAGGCTGGGGTCCCTGTTGGCATTGAATTGATGCCAATGACCAGTGAGTAACAATTTTTTATTATTTTTATTTTCCAACACTTTCCTGGGATGACAAAAAAGTTTGACCAAGATTAAAAACCTGCCAGGTATTTCTGCGCTGTGTTCATTGCAGCTTTATTCACAATAGTCAGACGTTGTGTCTACTGGCAAATGAGTGGATAAGAAAATGTGGCACCTTCCATTGTACACGCAATGGAATATTATTCAGCCATAAAAAGAAGGAAATCCTGCCATGTGTAACAGCGTGGATGGACCTGGAGAACATCCTGCTAATAAGTCAGTCCGGGAAAGGCACTCTATGATTTCCTTTATGGGTGGAATCTAAAAAAACCCCAAAGTCATGGGTACAGAGATCAGACTGTCGATTGTCAGAGGTGGGTGTGGGAGGTGCAGAAATTAGGTAAAGGTGGTCAGAGAGCACAAACTTCCCGTTACAAGATAAATAACTTCGGGGGACGTAATGCACAGCATGGTGACCACAGTTACCACTTTATTATACATGTCCAAGTTGCTGAAAGAGTATCTTTTAGAAGTTCTCATAACAAGGAAAAAAATCTTAACTATGTGAGTGATGAATGTTAAGTAATCTTGCTGTGGTAATCATCTTACCAAATCATCAAATTATTATGCTGTACACCTTAAATTTATACAATGTTATGTCACTTGTATCTCAATAAAAATGGGAAAAATTCTTCCAGAGGTGGACCTCAGACAGCATAGCCTGCCTGAGGATGTCTGAGGACTGCGTACATTATATGCAAAACCACCTGCAATCCCTCCAGCTGATTTAAGTCAATATGGCATAACTGAATGAATGATTAAATTTCAATGAAGTGAATGTTATATTCTTAAACAGTAAGTAGGGTCAAATCACATGAATATTTAATTTCCTAAAATTCATCTAGACAAACTCAGTCAAAAATAGGTTACAAAATCAAATACACTAAAATGCTTTGCATTCCTATGCACTGTGTGTTACTGTGCACAGGGCCTGTTTTCACACACATCGCGAGGCACAGAGTTCATATTTAAAAGCATGCAAGTTGTGCTTTGTGAGCAGTTACAGACGATTTCTGTTAAAAATGGCGAGGGCAGTTCTGACAGTCGGCTATTCCTGTCCTGGCCGGCGGAGCTCAGGCGGCAGGTGCTGAGTAGAGGGCTGTGCGCGCAGTCTGGGCGCTTTCCCCGCAAAGCCGCCTGCCGCGCATCTCCGGGGCTCGCGCTCTGCCCCACTTCGCACCTGAACATGGCTGGAGGCGGGGTGTGTTGTCACCTCACTCATGGAAAAATGATAATTGCCTTCTAATGTAAACATTTTTAAAAATGTTAACAGATTTATTGGGATATAAAGGTCACGTACCATAGCAGTTTCTCATTTAAAGTGCAAAATGCTATGGTTTTTAGCATATTCACAGAGTTGTACAACTATTAGCACAAGCTACGTGTAGGTGAAACCTTTAGTAACACTGATTTCTGAATTTCAAAAGTTCAGAAAGTTTTTAGTCCCCCTGGGGGGCCACGATCAGGTTCCTGCCACTTGTAAACACCACCCAGCTCTGGGTGAAGGGGGGCGCAGCCCAGGCTGTTTCTGAAGTCCGTCACGCGACGCGTCCCTGCCGGCCTCCCGGAGACCGTTCGGGAGCTGCACCCGCGCCCGGCGCAGAGGGGTGGGCGGGTGGCGCCCAGGCGGCACAGAGGCCCGTGACCGCGCCGGCAGAGGCTCAACGCCGAGGTGCCGCTCTCCGCGCCCACGCGTCACTCCCTACTCCCGTCAGGCACGTTAGTGCTTCCGGGGCTCCGTGCTCAGACCCAGAGCCGCCTCCTCGGTGGACAGGATGGCTCAGGGGTCCGGGTCCAGGTCCTGTCCTCAGGACCCCAGCTGTGCCCCACGCGGCCCGGGGGCGGCAGCCGTGCGGCGGGGCTGCCGAGGACCGGCGTTCGAGGCCTCTGCACAGGCAGCATCTGTCTGATCGTGGGCATGGCTGGCCCGCGTGCCGGCATCCGCTCAGGGGCCCCCCGGCCGCCGAGCACCGCCTCTGCCCTCAGCGCGCTCTCTTGGCTGCGCCTGCCCTCTGCTGAGGGGGCGGGAAGGAGCGAGCCTTTCTGCTGTGCTCTTGCTGTTTTAAATCATAATGAAATAAAAGGAAGCTGCCTTCCCGGGACTCTCTCGGCACGATTCAGATCAGAATTCCCTGCTGGAATCCCTTCCATCCACAGTAAAAAAAAGCTATGCTGAAAATCCATTTTTTACCTCTGAGATCAGTAAAGATCTGCTTGACAGTAAGTGAGAGTTTAAATTTGTGCACCCTCTCGGGAAGGCAATTTGGCCATCTCTCAAAATTAAAAGGTGCACATCTGTTGACCAGAGCGGCGGTACTTCCAACAGACACCTCTGCAGAGACACCCGTGTGCTCCCCTGCAGGGAGCTGCTTGCTGCTGTCTGTGGCAGCGGAGGCCTGGGGACAGCCTGATGCCTGGCAGGGAGCGGTAAGTGACGGCGCGGCCACACGCGGGGCCACTGTGCAGCCCTGGCAGGAATGAGGTGAAGCTGTCTGCTCATTTGGAAAACCAGCCGTCTGTCCAGGGTGCATCCAGGGGAAAGCACAGATCATACCTCATGTGTGCGTTAGGCAGGGACGGGGAGACACGGCGTTTACGGAAACGGCCCCAAAACACATGCCAGTGGTTGCTTCTGGGGAGGGCAGGTCGGGGCAGAAGCCTCTTCCCACCGCACAGGAGCTCTGCGTGCGGCCGGGCTCTTGCAGCGTGTGCCTGGCGCTCTGGCTCAGCACAGGCCGCTCAGCGACTCAGAGAGGTGCTCCCAGGGTGGCGTCCAGCCCAGTCCGCCTTCACCGACTTCCCCAGGGCCCCCGCCCCACGCACCTGGAGGACAGCCTCCTGTAAGGAGAGGGCACTGTCTGAGTGCACCTTCCAGTGCGTGGGAGGACGGGCTCAGGGTCACCCACCTGCGGGCCTCATCCCTCCGGCTCACGGGCATGACAGCTGAAAGTGCCCGGGGTGGGGGGAGGGGGGCGCTGCCTGCGGCCTGCCGCCTGCGCTAAACACAGTCACTGAGCCCCTGGAGCCTTGGCAAAGCCCCA